CGCTGACCGATCCGATTGGCTGTTCCGTAATCAATCGTGTCACGTGGGTTTCGTATACAAAACCTGTCAAAGGTACACGTGGTCGAACCGAAGCACGACTCTCGTGAACGAGCGCGGGAAGAACTCGAGAGTGCGAGTCTGCACGATAAAACGTGCATAAGGGCTTCTTTCCAGCCAGCCGTGTTTTATCGTTCGAGCGACACCCTGCCGCTCGACTCGGTCGGTAATCGGGTATCGCACTTCAAATTTCTCGAAGAGCTCGAAATCATCCACAGATGTCATCAATCTAATTGACTTCGAATCGGAATAAAACCGGCACTACGCGTCCACGTCTGACATCGAACTGCCGAAACTACTTTCTACGCTCCGAAATCTTGCTGTATTATTTTCTATTACCACTTTCATTCGATCAGACGGCGTTGCGTTAGACCAGTGGTCTTCAAATTCCGTCGTATCGCGGAACGTAGAAACTCCGTCGTTTTCGAGAAAAAGTTGTTAAAAAATTATTAAAAAGAAATGTTGACACTGTGTGCAATTTATATGAAAAATGGGACAGCATAAAATTATTTCATAGATAATATAAAATATAAAATTATTTCTATATAAAATATTTCTATTATGAAACGATTCGAATGCTAATTAAAAATAATTCATTACTATGTTATATATATATATATAGTAATGAATGCTTTTTAATTAGCATTCGAATATTATTATATTTTATATTATATTATATTATTTATATTATATATATTGTATATAATATTATTATATTTTATATTATCTATGAAATAGTTTTATTCTGTCCCATTTTTCATATAATATAATAATATAATAATATTCGAATGCTAATTAAAAATAATTCATTACTATGTTATATATAGTAATGAATGCTTTTTAATTAGCATTCGAATATTATTATATTTTATATTATATTATATTATTTATATTATATATATTATATATAATATTATTATTATTATATTATAGTATTATTATATTTTATATTATCTATGAAATAATTTTATTAGTATTAATAATTTTATACATTTATTATTTATTAAATGTAAAATTGTTCTGTAAATTTTGCAAATAGCTTAATGTGTATTACGTACGTAGAAGTTCGAGACCTTCTCTCGAAGAACAAACTGAAGTTTAATCACTTCAATTGTTCTCGAACGAAACTAGGTCATAATTACTTTTGAATCGATACGTAATCGATACTAGTTACTTGCTAGTTTACTTTAATTATTAATAATTTCTTAAATTTATTATATTATTATATTTTGATGTTACGCGATGATATGTGATACGCGTTAATTTTTAGAAAAAGAAAAGATAGGAATAATCAAACTTGGAAATGTGTCAGATAAGGTACTCGCGATAATGAAGTGTGGATGATCAATACCCATGACATCATGTTTTGAAAAATTTAGATCTAGCTATTAATACGCTGATTGGTCACGTTGCTGAGATATACGTATAGGTGACACGATTTCCGAAATTGATGTTGAGCGATCGAACAGAATAAGAAAGAAAGAAAAAATGGATGCAACGAAAGCAAGATTAATGAACATCCGATGAATGCCAGATGAGATCAGACTACCTAGTTAACAGCGAATGGAATTTTTCGAGCTGCTTAGTTGGCGATCAAAGTGTTAATGACCGGCACATGTGTGCAAGTGATCGTTACAATAACGCAAATACATTCTAATATATTCGAGGTTGGCGCTGAGGAAAGGAAAATTTCGACGCGTCAGGTGTCCAATCTACGATGTTACCAGCGCAGTTAACGAAATTAGCGTTGTTAATAGCGTCGAGTTAACATGTCTTTTAACGACGAGAACAACCGTAAGATACGTAATTTGTCGTAACCTAAATGCATCCTGACAATTCAATCATAATGACCGTGTAAATCTATAATCATCGTAATTAGTTCGGTCACCATAATTATGAGTGTCCTGGTGGCATGGAATAAACCAGACCGGAAGGAGCCTGATGTGATCTAATTAGCAAACAATCTTATCCCTCCTTGCTTAACAGGTTGCGTCGCAGAAAACGGTGAATATACCGATGCGCATTTTACGTGTGTTCCGAGTGAAAACGGCCATAGAGCGTTGATCGAATTCTCCAGGGAAATGAAAGCGATATATTACGTTTCCGATCGACTGACCAACCATCGTTTCGATTTCATTGGACGGTACAGAATGATTACGGAGTTTCCAACAATTAGCGCGAAAATTTCTGGCTCGGCACTTCTCTGTATTATAATTTACACACACTGAATTTATCGCCGATATCAATCGTCAATTATAATCAATTTGTGGTAAATTATTAATTGAGATTAATGCTGCGACGAGACTGCGGTAATTAATAAATCATGTCAAGGTAAAGGAAAGGAAGTATGCGTACGTGTATAGCAATTTCTCCCTAATTCGAGCTCAGATGGAGTACAAAAATGGATGATTTGGGAAGAGGAGATACGATTATTCGAGTCTTGCGACTCGTTTTTATGGCTACCGATTATCAATAACTATAAAAACGAGATGCAAGACTCGAATAAATAAAGTACATACATACATAAAATAATAATAAATACATACATAAATAAAAAAGTAATAAAATACAAAATAATAATATAGTATAAATAATTATAAAGTATAAAATAATAATAAAATATATAATAATGATATAATATAAAAAAATAATATAAAATAAAATAATAAAATAATAATAAAAAACGTAAAATAATGATATAATATAAAAAATAATATAAAATAAAATAATAAAATAATAATAAAATATAAAATAATGATATAATATAAAAAAATAATATAAAATAATAAAATAATAATGAATGAATAAATAAAAAAGTAATAAAATATAAAATAATAATATAGTATAAATAATTATAAAGTATAAAATAATAATATAAAATAAAATATAAAATAATAAATAAATAAATAAATAATAAAAAATAAATAAAAATCCTCTCCCCAAACTGACCACTTTCATGCGCAATCTGAGCGCGAATTAGGGAGAAATTACTATATCTAGCTCGAAACGGTAAGTATGCGTAGTGTAACGGGATTAATAGTTGTCACGGTATATTTTCGCAAATAGTATGCAGAAAATGTAATGTATGTTCGAAAATTTAATTAATTTTCGAATTACGCTCTGTATGTACCGGCGAGAGGGGAATCCAAAGGACACCGTTAACCGTTGTTGATGTAGACCAATAAAACGGTTCGACGACATTATCGTGGGCGCCAGGACGTCGCGACATCGTCGTTCCTGCTATTGCGTAGTTCCTGCCCGTCCAACTCTTTGACCAAGATCGATAGTGCAGATAAGGATAATAACCACTCGCGAACCTACGCCACGTTTACGTGTATCCTTAACCTTCCCCCGACAATTTCTGAATCCACAATTAATTCGCCATCAATTTTGTTCGCCTCTCATTATGTACACTGTTTGCGCAAAACTATTATGTGTTAGTGTGTCGTGTATTGTGTAAATTATATATCCTACTATTAAAGTACGACGATGGACGGGAAGAACGGTGGAAGGTGTTGAACAATAAGGGAATTTTAGTCCACATAGATAGTTAGCAGGGTTACCATTTAGTACAAAGTTTACTATTTACAGTGGATTCTCCCTAATTGACCCTCAGCTTGGAAACAAAAATAGACAATTTGGGAATAAAGGAGGTACAATTATTCGGCCCGTTTTGCTCGTTTCAACTCGATTCTGTAGCTGTTGACAATCGGTAACTATAAAAATGAGCCGCAAGGCCCGAATAATCGTATCTTCTCTTTCCAAATTGTCTATTTTTATGTCCAAGCTGAGGGTCAATTAGGGAGAATTTACTGTAGTTCTATTCTTTTCGAGGACAAATGTCGACATAATGGGTAAGGGAGACTGGAGCTAGAAGTTCCGTGTGTAAGTTGTTTCGATGGTACTATATTTCGAATGAAAAAGAATTGCGTTATGGTCTCAATTGTTTTGACAGCATGGACAGCATGGACTACAAAATAGTAGTCACATACCAGTTAAGCAAATATTTCGCGGTGACTATTCTTTTGTCTAATTAAATTATTTAATGTCAATATCGTTTATTGTTCTGTTCTTATAAATCAAATAGCATTTACGAACACGTTGTAGTAGCATTTATTAGAATATTTGAATATGCGAACAAAATATTTTTATAAATTGTCACATATGTCAATTGGAGTTTAGTTGTTTTCGTGACTCGGAATATATTGTTATTGTAACAACTTACCCCACCTGAAATATACAAATAGTTTCTGTTCTGTCGCAATGCATATTCTAAATCACAGCCCACGGAAGAATAGATTTAGTGCATGTTACGCAAGAACTGGTCTCATACCAAATGTATAAAGAAAGTAAATGCTGCATCATACACAGAATGTCCCAAAAATGTCTCGCAATTCAAAAATAGGGGGTTCCTCAGATCATTTGAAATAACTTTTTCCTGAGCGAAAATGCAACCCGCAGCTTTGTTTACGAGTTATTAACGAAAAACAGTGACCAATGAGAGATCAGCTGGCGCGAGACGGCCGAGCCAATGTGCGGAACTGAGCTTCGTGCGCTGATTGGCTGGACCGCTTCACGCCAGCCGAGCTCGCATCTTATTGGCCAGTGTTTTTCGTTGATAACTTGTAGACAAAGCCGTGGATTGCATTTTCGCTGAGGAAAAAGTTATTTCAAATGGCCCGAGGAACCCCCCATTTCCGGATTACGAGACTTTTTGGGACACCCTGTATTTGTCCGAACTGTGACTCTGACGAGTCGTTTGACGATATCTAATTTTTTTCCATTTAAAAGGTTATTTCTATATTAGGTTTAAGTGAAGTTGTTCCTAAGTTATCGTAGTATTAAATTATTATTTTCATTTTACTACATTAATGTTTTTGCCAAAGATAGTATATTTCTTTCTTTCAAAGATATGTCTGTTAATCCGAAGTTAATGAACAAACTTTATTAATAAAATTGTGTTTTATTTCGTCAGAGAATGAAATATCTCATTATAAAGTAACATTGACCCCACAGCGTTAACAACTTGCCTCGTGACAAGGTAATTTCCGCTTGAGTTGACCACAAAGAAAACGAGTTTCTATGAAAAACTTATTACAATATATTAAATTTGAATTGACGATCTTAAAGTAGAATAAATTCAACGATAATAAATTAGTCAGAAAGACAAAAAAGTCACTGCATTATTTCTCAGTCAATTTTTATGATTTCTCAAAATTGGAAATGTAAAGTCACAAAGATATAATTTGGTAGGTACATAAAAAAATTGTAGGTACATAATAATATTAATACCTTATACATAATTAATTATACATGATTATATTAATACCAATACCTTATGTACGCGACAATAAGATCGGAATATATTGTTCACATTTCCCGTTATTTAAATTTTGTATAAATGATCTAATTATGTGAGGAAAACATCTTCCGTTCTCTAAACACTCTTCGTCCGGAAGGCAATGTTTCGATTGTTCAGCTATTTCTCGAGGGTCGCATTTATTAACAGATTAAAAATCAGATTAAAACGTATTAAAAATCATTCGCGCCTCTAATTAGCAATTGCCGCGCGCTGGCAGAACGTATCAACTTGCGAAATTTCCGAATGGAAAGTTTTACGTTTCTCTACGTTTCTCTCGAGATGGACCTCCTACGACGACTGTTCTCCCCTCAAGAAGCCATACTAAACGGTTCTAAGCATTCATCCAGCTTAAAGTCTATTTGTCTATTTGTCTTCGGAGATTAACCGTTTAATTACAATACAATCTCGTCCGAGGGAAGATAAGAAATGAGCAGGCATTGAAGTGATCAGTAGACATTTATTCGTATATGACACCGGGATGATGACTCTTGGCATAGCGAGTCGATCTCTGAGAACAGATTAACGTGGATTTACAAAGATACCCGCGATACCCGAGTGTCTTATAATTACATGTAAAATTCGACATTAAAGAGCCTTCAGATAACAGTCCTACTATTTTATACTTCTTTAAATGTACATAATTTTTATCCCAGCTTTTAACAACATTATTATCGCAATTAGGCTGTTAATTTTACGTAAGATACGACGAACATTTGATTTTTTTTCTCTGCTTTAAGAACTCTTGACGTAACACAATCCACCTTTAATTCTATTCTGTAGATTATAAAACAACACAAAAAGCTATCATAACATCTAATTAGCGTATCATAGCGTAATAGATGCAGTGATTCGCAATATTAAAGCGTACAAATGACTAATTCATTGTTCTGTGTGTCATCATGACAAAAACGTCACGTGTCACGTTAGTCAGAATAAAAAAACCTAACACCAACAGTCAGCAAATATTTTACGAAGTTTTGCCCAACAAATACTGCAGAACATTTTGCAGAACAAATCCATTTAAGTTAATTAAACATTTATACTGCACACCAAACAACGGTAAATTACGATCGTGGAAATCGCTTTTTTGAAACGAGACTATTTTATGTTACGAGAATATTTGATCAAATAAAAAATTTTGAAAATCAAGAATCGCATTGTTTATATTTTGGAGATTAAGCGACTACTGCGATTATTCACGTAGTGAAAAAATCCACGTGAAAAAGAGCAATTCATTTATCAGCAGTCATAAGAAAATAGCATAGTTTCATAAATAAAAAAATGTTCTCATGTAATTAAATATCCTTGTAAGATCAAAAGTTTGTTCCTTTTTGAAATCAAGTAACTTTTGTATTTAACATTTTGCCAAAAATGTGCTATTTTCGAGATATTTAGATTTGATGTTTACAAATGTGCCCATAATTATGAAAGTGGTCTAAGTCATATATTTCTTGTTTCGAGATATTTAATGAATCGCATTTGAATAAATTAAAAAATATTTTTACATTATGTGCGACATTTTAATTTATAATTTTATTAGATATGAAATTTTGTGTGAATTTCATAGGAAAATGTTGTTTTTAAAGCTTGAATTGACTTAGACCATTTTCAAAATTAACTGAATGTCCTATAATTGACTTAAAGTAATAAAAAATTGTGATTTTTATTTGAGCCGTTTATTTTGAAAGTGGTGTAAGTCCAATGTCATCGAAAGAAATTGTAAGTGGCGTTGCGTGGGGTATTTAGACAATACAAGCTCAGATTCGGCATTTTGAATTTCTTTAAAAAAAAGAACTTATACCACTTTCAAAATAAACGGTCCATTTGAAACAACAACTTTAACGAAATAATTCATAAACATTTATTAATCATTTTTAAAAAGTAATCCATTTTTATCATAATTTCGAGTTTTTAAGATTTTTAAAATGTTCCTGAAAAACTGGAGGGATGTATGGTAGTAAACACATAAGATCTTTTTATGTTTTTCCTCCGTTACTGGTATAGTGGTGTTGTATAGTGGAAGTAATTGAATATTTTCGCATATTTTTGGTCTTCCTCTTTTAGGTGAAAGATCCAAAACTTGGAATTCAGAATCATCTAAAGAAGTCTTATAAAACATTTTATAAGGTTCATTTTTCAAGAATCTCATCCATTGAATTTTTAGCCAAGAGACAGATTCGCCCGCGGTATTTTTTACTCTCCTTGTTATTGATTTTTCAAGTGATTTCGTTGAAATAAAATCCGGCTGCGGTATTTTCAAGTTATGTTCATATAATTTCTTTAAATTGTTGACTTAGACCACTTTCATAATTAACACTAAATGAATTCCGTATAACGTTGTAATTACAACTACTATCTAAAGGTTCATTTTTGACGATATCGTAAAAATTACATTGAATAAATTTAGTTTAAAATCATGTCGTGTGAAATAAGCGATAAATTCATTTTTTTTTTAAATTTTGACTTAGACCACTTTCATAATTATGGGCACAAATGAACATCCTATATATGTTATCTATATGAATGCATACAAACTATAAATCAAAATATCTCAAAAAGGGAGGCCCATTTTGAGAAATCCTATTATTCAATATTAAGTATGTACTCTAACTTTAACCCACTTTCGTTTCAAAAGCGATATCCGCGATTATAAGTTCCACAGTAGAATCCCAATAATCCAGCATGCTTGGGACTTCAGCGCTGACAGATTATCAAATATTCTAGACTGTTGGACTACATTTGTAATGAGGTTGAAGCGATGGAAATCATTTTCAATTGATTACAATTTTATTCGTAGAGTTAAGATTCTTATTTAAAAAATCATTTTGTAGGATACAAAGATTCATTATTAAATTCAAATTAAATTCACGTATGATCAGCTGACGCGAGGCGGCCGAGCCAACAAGCGGTCGAAGCCCAGTTCCGCTCATTGGCTCGGCCGCCTAGCGGCGGGCGAGCTCGCCTCTCATTGGTCACTCTATTTCGTTAATAACTCGTAAACAAAGCCACAGATTGCATTTTCGCTAAGGAAAGAGTTACTTCAAATGACCTCAAGAATCACCCCATTCCGAGTGTTGATATAATTATGGGACATCCTGTACAATGGAAGAGGCTTTCGAGCAAAATATTTGTCTTAACCCTTTGCACTCGAAGCCATTTCCACTCTGAATTTAAATTTGCTTTTCTAACTTACAGTATTTCCATTTTGTGAGACTTAAGTGCACTTTACGTACATGAAATTGAATTTTATGACTGGTGCAACAATTACACTTTTAACAGTTTTTAAAATGTAAACTAATTTGATAATGTTAAAATTAGTTTTTTTAAATGTTACATACCAATTTTGTGCGATGAGATGGAGTCGTCAGTGGAGTGTAAAGGGTTAATTTTTGCGTTTCCAACGAAATTTCTTGTGTCGGCTTGTAGCGACTGTACGTCCACGTTCATAGCAGGTGATGAAACATGGCTTTATGGGAACAACATGCAAACGAGTCAACAATCTTCGGAATATTGCTTCGACGAGGAAAACGCACGAGAAAACTCAAAAACTGTGTCAAGTCCTTCGAGAGTCTAGGTCAGGCTCACTGTTTTTTTTCGATTAGCGTGATGTTGTTCATTCGGAATTTCTTCCGAATACACAAACGGTCAATAAATAATATTATACGAGCGTCACGTTGCATTTGCGTGAATATATTCGTCAGAAACAGCCAGATTTGCGCAAATACGATTCTTGGATTTTCCGTCAAGATAATGCTCCGTTGCACGCGGCAATCTTGTTACGTGAATTTTTGGCGAAAAATTCAACAAACAACATCGATCAAACTCCGTATTCATCAGATACGATCACGTGCGACTTTCTTTTATTTCGCGAACTCGAATTACAACTTCGAATGAGGCGTTTCGAGTCGATTGAAGCTGTAAAAGAGAATTCGCAGGAGTTGAAGGCAACATATACAGTAATTTCTCCCTAATTCGCGCTCAGATACGCACAAAAAAGGACAATTTGGAAAGAGGAGATACGATTATTCGAGCCTTGCGGCTCGTTTTTATAAATACCGATTATCAACAACTATAAAAACGAGCCGCAAGGCTCGAATAATCGTATCTCCTCTTTCCAAATTGTCTATGTTTGTGCGCATACTGAGCGCGAATTAGGGAGAAATTATTGTACAGTGGCTAACGAAAGTATTCGAATATTTTTCGAAACGGAATATCTTTCTAAAACTTGGACCAAATTACTCGAACTTTTTCGGGATAACAGAATGACTAGTTTACTAGACAATGTGCAAACTTTTACAAAAATTGCAAATTGGTTGAAACGATAAAAAATGAGAAAGTCACGTTTTTAACTTTTTCATCCGAGCCTAGAACAACTGCTTCATGCTTTTAATGTCAATGCTTTCGTCGAAATCGATTGTCGCAGTGTCGAGAGAACTGCAGGTATTTTAAGATTTAAAAATCTTAAAATACTAATCCAGATTTCATTTCCAAATCTAATCCAGATTTCTTAATAAAACTGCATAAAATAAAGAAAAAAGAGAGAGATTAGTGGAATAAGCGATAAGATATGCGCAATATCCTGCAATTGCTTCGTCACTCTTACTTTCATCGAAGCCTGAGCAACATGTCATAACTCTTTCGAGATGGATTTTTGCAGCAATAACATAATAATTCGTATTATAATACAGAAGTAAAGCGTTAATTATACGAACCTTGGTTATGCGAATCACAAAACGAGTAACCATAAAAACGAGTCGCGAGACTCGAATAATCGTACCTCCTCTTCCCAAATTGTCCATTTTTGTGCGCGATCATATCGCTAATTAGGGAGAAATTACTGTACCTTCTTCAGCGTTTGAAAAATATTTCGAAGACTGGGAGATGTGCGTCGGCGTATGCGCATTGTCTCGAATCAAACCTGTTTCGAAGACGTCGAAATCAATTTTGATGATTGAATAAATAATTTGTATTTTATTTACACACATTCTGAGTCCCTTTTTTTGACATAATACAGAACACGCTTACAGATAGTTAGCTGGTCTTCGTCGCTGCACTCGCAACTGCACAATGTCAGAATGAACAGACAGACGGAACGTTTGCACTGAAAATAGTTACTCCCGGAGTCGCTTTACGTTCTCCATTGATTAATTAAATATAGCCGCGACGCACGAGGATACGAATAATGCTGCGCGAGGATCGTTAACGAGCAAGATTTAATTGATCCTCCGCGATCAGCGAGCGAGTCCCCGCCTCGGCCGACAGTTTATTGTCCCTCGCGGCAAATAGATTAGGTGAAAAGAAGGCCACGACGTAGTAGGCCAACGTGAGTATTGATTTCGGTCGGGGAGCTCTCTGCATCCGCGCTTTCAGTGTCATTTGAGTACGGCGTAGATGCAGCGCGGAGAGTGGCCGGAGGGGAGCGAGCCAAATCGCTCTCATTCAGTAAAATCTCGATCTGCTTGCACGAATAAGAATCGCGAAAACACAGAGGGCGCGGTGCACGGTCGAGGGATCGGAAAAAAACGGACCCTTTGTTTTCGACTAATTTGTTTTGTGAAGGGCAGTATTTTTGTCCCGCGGTACGGAGCGGTGTCACGCGTAATTTATGGCCACAATGCGAAGCAATGCGAGAGAGATCGGTTCGGTTCTATTGAGAGCAGGTCAGGGCACATTTGACATGACATTATTTTAAATATTATTTCAGATAACATGTTATTTGATTTGATGCTATTTGTGTATTTTAGATCATTTATAATTCTGTTATTAACCTCTTGCCGTACCATTTTCTTCATAGTAACAATGATTAAAGGTTTTTCGATTGTAATAATTTCTAAGAAGAAAGAAAGCAATTTATATATTTATGTATATATTTTTACTTAAATGTTTAAGTACCGATGACAAGAAATCAGAATTTTATTCAAACTAAAAAGAACGGAATAATATTCATAATTAACAGGCTCTTACTAAAAATCTCCATTACGAGGTAGACTCGTTAAAGTGCGGCAAAATAAAACCTTTTGCAGTCGAAGCTATTTGAATTCGAAATCCTGAATATGTTTTCTGACCTACGGTATTTCTATTTTATATAATTTACTGCGATTTGTGCACATGAAATTGAGCTTATTGGCAAGTACAATGCAATTTTTACAGTTTTTTAAAATATAAACGAATTTGATGCTGTTACAATGATTTTGGAAAGATAGTACATCAATTTTTAGTGGCGCCTTAGAGTCGCCACTCGAGTGCAAAGGGTTAAAGCATGTCAATGGACAGCGTTAGATAATACGAGATTTGTAATCTATAGATAATTAGCGGAATTGTTGATGCTTGATACCAAACCTGGGCTCGTTTGATAAATTAAATCAAAAATATTACATCAAATAACGTGTTATCGATTAAAAAATCGCGTCCATTCCGCTTATAAACTTACTTATTCTAGTTTTAAAAGAATTTTTGCACAATGTTTACTGATATATTAACGCGATCGGTAACAGCTAAAAATTTTGAAATGCAACAAAATTAATTCTGGTGGACACGAATTTCCTTTCAACCAGAAAAGCAGACGTATTTTCCTATATTTTCTTGTTCGCTCTGATGCATCTATTTGAGAAGCGTGCGCTTTCGTAATCGTATATGTACTTTAAGGAAGACTTTCCGGAAGCTTCCAGGAACATCGTAATCAGCATGAATGCCTCGGTAGTCTGATCTTATTTCCATGAGAAAGGACAACGAAAAGGACGAAAGGATGGTATTTGGAAGAAATATCGGAAAATTATGTCAACATATTCCATTCAGGTGAACACGTATTCTCGAACAACACGGTGTCGTTGTACACAGTATTTTTTTTTTAATTTAAAAATTGTGTTTTCCATAAATAAGTTTTTATTGAATACGAACGATGAATAAACGAATCGCAATATCCTACGTGCTACGTAGTCAGAGCTACCAGGGTATTCTTGGAGTCGGGAAATTATTTTCCGAACAAAGAAAGGGGTGAAGTCAAGTGGCGATATCTCAAACACTTGCACGAGCTGCAGATTGCGATGTTCGCTTACTGCGAATCCAATGTTTATATTCGCACGGTAATATAATCTATTTAGAAACGAAAGGACAAGAGCTATCTGCGCAGATGGAGTTCGAATCAACGAAGCTTGAACGCCAGATACATATCGAGCTGAAATCGATTTTCATTGTTTTATAAAACCAAACGTGTTTGCATAGTAAAGAGTCTCTCTGATTAGACCTTCTGGTTATAAGGCAATGTTTTGGTATTTTTTTTTAAAAAAAAGGCAATGTAATGGCAAAGATACGCTTATAAACTAACATTCCCTGAATCTATTCGTATTTTGTTAATAGTCATTTTCTTTGTAGTTACAGCAAATTGTTGATTTTTTATGCTTCAAAATCCAAATGTTGCAGACGATAATTTAATTCAAATGCACGCGTTTACAGGGCATCTACTAAATTTACCTGTTGGAGATTGGATTGTTAAATAAAGAACAATTTTCATTACTTCTTCTTGCTTTTCAATATGATCACGACTTTATTTGAATGATCGAATGAGGCACGTGTTTACTCTGCGATCAGAATAATCGAAGTGTGGAGACAAAAGAGAACTCCGTCACGCATCTAAATGTCCTACCGATGTTAGAATAATCGTCCGACCAAGAATTAAGAGAATTCGAGAAATTCAAGAACTTCAAGGAAGAAATGTCAAGATAAGTTTTCTATATTTGTAAAGTGAATACAACAATATCCGATAAATTGAGAGGAAAAAGTAGAGAGGAGCGAGTTGTTAAGAATCAATAATCATTATGTCAATACATTCGAAAATCATCGGAATCGGCGAGAAAGTCGTTCATCGACAGTTCACCAATTCTTTTTTATTTATCACTTTGTAATAACAAATCGACGACGGCAAAACTCTGTCAAGGGTTGCCAGGGAACTGTCCTTGATAACATGATATATCAAGGTATGGGTTATCGAGGCTTGCTCCCCTAAACGTAAATTTTACCCCTAAACCTACCAAAACGATCAAAAACGATCAGTCTCTCATTTTATTATTTTCATATCGTTGAAGAGCTACGAAGACTCTATTTTAAGAAGATTGAATAAATTCTCTTTGTTCAAGCATACATTGTAATAAAAATGATGAAAAGTATAAATAAATTCAGTCTTGTCATTCTTGTAAAATAAAGTATCACATATTAATAGAAATGACAGGGCGTAACATACTTCATATAATGGATCTAAGGAGATCTTTTGTATGAGAGAATGGCTTCATGTGGTATTTAAATGTGATGTTCAGCATTTACCACGGGTGCCAACGATTTATCCTTGCGCGCTCGATCGCGTCACCACTAATACCTTCCACTATTATCGAAGGATTTACTTGTAATGCTTTCAAAATATGTACAGTGGCCCACAAAAGTGTTCGTACACCTTTTAAAACGCAATAACTTCTCGAAAACTGAACTAAATGATCTGAATTTTTTTTAAGTGATACAGTGATAAAGAGATAACAGAGATACATACTAGTCTACTAAACTATGACTGAAATGATTTTTTTATTTTTTAATTTTGCTATTACTTGGAATGACAAAAAATATAAAAATCCCTCACTTTTAAACTTTTTAATCTGAGCCTATAACGAAAATTTAAAAAATATCTTTTGTAACTTATACGCATGTTGAAAATTATATCGAAATCGAGCTACAGGCGTTGAAGGATTTTAAAAACTTCAGATTTCTTACAGTTACGATTTCTCCAATTTTTAATTTGTTGTTACTAACAACGTGAACTGATTTCGATAAAATTTTCAACGTTCATATAAGTTAACGAGACATTTCTTAAATTTTCGTTATAGACTTAGGTAAAAAAGTTAAAAAATGACAAAAAAGAATTTTTTTGTCATTTCAAGGAATAACAAAATTGAAAAAAAAGATCATTTCAGTCATCGCTTAGTAGACTAGACCCTCTGTCATCTAAAAATATTCAAGTTACATATTTACTCCAGTTTTAAAATAGTTATTGCGTTTTAAAACGTGTACGAACACTTTTGTGAGCCACTCTGTATGTGGTACATGCTTGAAACGCGATAAACTATCAAGATTTGTAGCGTCGCTGTCACACGCCAAAAATTCAATCCGAGTTACAGCGTCTCCTTTTTTTATAGTTGGTGACAATCGGCAACTATAAAAACGAGCCGCAAGACTCGAATAATCGTACATCCTCTTCCCAAATGGTCTATTTTTGCGCGCAATCTGTGCGCGAATTAGGGAGAAATTACTGCACTATGAATGATTCGACCGAATCCAGGGAGCATTCTCCACTTTATCTAAGCGTTAGCTATCAACGCGCGCTTCCTGATGCGACATTTATAATGAAACCGGTTCGACGCGAACAAAATGCTAGCTCGTGCTGCGATCCACGGACTTTTAAACGGCTGCATAACTGGTCGGTAACCGGTTGACGGCAGAACCTTACACCGACATCTGTACGGAGTGCAGAAAACCGACGCGTTCAAGCCGGCTAAGACTGGTTTCCTTTGAGGAAAAAAAGGTAAATAAAAGGGAATCGGCCCCGGCAGACAGCACCGGACCACTTCCAGTCAGATGATATCGTCCTTGTTGAGAATCAACAAGATCTCGTACCAAGGTCGATCCGAGCCAGCGCGATTATGCTCCGCGCCTTCTGGCCGCTCCGCTGAACCGTCTGATCCGATTAACAACCTACCGGAACTTTCTACAATCACGATCAAAAGCTCGTTCGGCCACCGTTTCGAGTATCGCCGACTTGTTAATCGCCCCTTGCATTTCCGATCGCGCTACCGAATTATTACATCGATCGATTAAATAATCCTTTCGGCTTAGGCTCCTGCGCCACTTTGCTATGATCGAATGTGTTCTAGAGAATGATTGTGCAACATCTTTTCTTTCAATTTATACGAACGTTTTATCATTTCGATCACAAATTGTTAACGTTAAAAGATCCATTCTGCTAATGATTTGTACTTCAAATCTCTTTGTAGGTTTTTTTTCATGATCACAGATCAAAATTGGCAGTATTTTATCGAATTTTTAAATTTGATATGAATTCATATAATTATTTATCGAGTAATACGAATTAAATTTTAAGAAATTAATCTTTATGAATTATTATTTATTAAATGTAATTCAGTTTTTGCAGCTCGTATGAATTGTATTAGAAATTGTCATTATAAATCAGTGAACTTCATTTGCAAACGGGTGAATCTCATTTGCAAAAAGGTAAACAAGACCAGCAAAACAGTTTTATTTTTCGAAAAACGTATATGATCTATGGAAGGATTATCATGAATTGCAAATAGGCGAACACGAACTACAAAAGGATTAATTCGGAGTGCAAAGAGGTTACTGTGAACAACAAAAGGATTAACTTGGAATACAAAACGGTGATTAAGAACTACGAAAGGATTAATTCGGAGTGCAAAGGGTGGACATGATTTGTCAAAGGATTAATCTTAAGTGCAAAGCTAGATGGTTGATACATGTGTGAAGCATTGATACATGTATTTCATATTCTGCCATAAATGGAAGTCGCTGAAATAGTCTCCGGAGCGTGTAAAGGAGACGCTACCAGCCAGAATAGTTCAATTAAAAAATTCACGCGCGTCTGCGCACCTTCGGACAGACATTTGGCAAGAACCGCGGGTCGCCTCAAGTATTTATTACGCGCAAACGGTGCCAACCCG